CACAAAGAAACCCTGTCTCAAAAGAAAAAAAAAAAAAAAAAAAAAAAAAAAGGTGGGTTATATGTAAATGAAGAGCAGTGACAGACTAGTGATGTACAGATTTTAGTCTAGGTTCTGTTCATATGTGTAGTAGCCACCGGTAAGATGGTTTGTTAGGATTTTCCTCTGAACATGTGAAAATTTTGCTTCATTCTGCCTGAAGTGTTGCCTCTAAGAGATTCTGCTGCAGTGATTTAGAAAGGGTCCTAAGGATGCAGGCTTTACCATTCCTGTGTCACATTCAAGCATTTTCTGTAGTATAGGCTTCTCTGGAGGCTGAGGCAAGAGTGTCAGAGGAAGGGTGGGAGACAGCAGGGTGAAGTAAGAAAAGAAAATGTTCTTTGTTTACTGAAACATTGCTTAAGTACTGTTCAAGAGAAAGAAGACTGTTTTTCTTACTTTGTCTGAAAAAGAACTCAGGCCTATAATATCCAAGCTCATAAAGATCTATTACTGATTAAATAAATGCTGTTCATTTGCTTGGGAACCTAACTTCCTTCTAAAGCAAAATTTATTCTCTATGCTTCTAATATTTATTTATTTTAATTACATATATGTGTGTGGGTATGTGCATGTGAGCTCAAGTGGATAGAGGCCAGAGATACCTAATTCTGCAGAATGGAAGTTATTTGAATGCTACAAATGGAACTCAGGTCCTCTGGAAGAACAGCCAGTGCTATTAACCACTGAGCCATCTCTCTAGTACGCTTCTCTTTCTCTCTCTCTCTCTCTGTTTTTGTGAGGTGTGGGGCTGTGCATAGGGAGACCAGAAGAGGACCTCTCCTAGCACTCGGTTATATATTCTCTTGAGACAGGGTCTCTCACTAGGCTTGAAGTGCTCCGTTTCAGCTAGGCTAAGCTCTTGGGAAGTGCCAGTCTCTACCTCTGCTTCTTCCTCCCTCCCTTCCCCACAGTGCTAGGGTTAAAAATATATGCAGCCATACCTAGCTTTTTTTTTTTTTTAATATAGGTAATAAGTAATGGGGATTCAAACTCAGATCCTCATGCTTGCATAGTAAGAGTTCCTACCCACTGAGCCATCTTCCCAGCCCCTAGAGCAATTTTTGTTTGTTTTTGATACAGGGTCTTTATTAGGTAGCTTTGGCTGTTCCGGAACTTACTATATTAGACCAGGCTGGCCTCAGATTCACAGATACCCATCTTCCTCTACTTCCCTGAGTACCAGGTAAAGGCATGTGCCACCATGCCTGGCCTTAGAACATTTTTTTTTTTTTTTTTTTGAACTGCTTTTTCAAGATAGTCCTGGATGTCCTGGAACTTCCTCTATAGACCAGGCTGGCCTTAAACCTTAAACTCACAGGAATTGGCCTGTGTCTGCCTCCCAGTGCTGCGATTAAAGGCATGCATCACTACCTGGCTACAGATTTTAAATTAGCAAACTTATTTAAATTTTCAAAGTTACCTTAGAAACTAACTGATTTTCCCGAGGAAGGAGCAGTGTGAGCAGTCCGTTGTTCACTTCTCCACTAATTGGGCTGTGTAGGCTCTGGCACACACAGCACTCAGATATTGTGTAAAGAATACATGCACATCTCCCCTAGCATAAAGGCTTCCTCTTTCCCTGCATGTCTCCACACACTTGTGTCATCTAGTGATTGTCATCTAATGCTGTAAATGGGCTGTAAAACCTGGAAAGTGAGAGCACGGCCTGCTTCCTCTTAGCCCCATCAGCAGCCTAGCAACACTGTCTGGCCTCCGAAGTCAGCTCCTGACCTAAAAAGACTGAGCCAAGACTTAGCAAGCCATGAGTCCAGGCTAGAAGCTAACTTGGGCAATGTTGTCTTTCCAGAGGTCAGGGCACATTTGTATTTATAATTTGTCACTCCTCTGTCTCTGCCCCCAGAGTGTTCAGTATCTAACTTCCTCACTAGATACTCCTCTGAAACTTTGATTCCTTTTATAATTCATTCACTCAGTTCTTGTCTGATGAGGTCACTTCTGGCTGTTGTTGGGTCTGCAGTGCAGCGTAGAAAGGCATGGTTTCCATTTCAAAGGATTTATAGTTACTGACATGACAGAAAGGTTATTTCTGCCACTGACATGAACGTTAACAAAGGAGAGTGGGTCACCTGAGGTCTAAATCAAGAGCTGCAACTTATTTTTCTTCCTGGTTACTTGCTTCATTGCCTCAACGTCTCATCATCTTTCTCCAACTTGAGAGAGGTTCAGCTGTCTCCTGTCAGTGTCTGGGAAAAGGTTTTTAAATCTGTTCTCTTCCTTACAGGTAAACTTTAATGAGCCCTTGTCCATGCTTCAGCGCCTTACTGAAGATCTGGAATACCATGAGCTGTTAGACAGAGCTGCAAAATGTGAGAGCTCTCTGGAACAACTCTGCTATGTTGCAGCCTTCACCGTTTCCTCCTATTCTACCACTGTCTTCCGAACCAGCAAGCCATTCAACCCTCTTCTTGGGGAGACCTTTGAACTGGACCGACTGGAGGAGAATGGGTATCGATCCCTCTGTGAGCAGGTAAGGAGCCCAGGCCTGTGACACTTTTCCTTTCTTATGATGGGGTAGTTATTGAGAAGCCAGTCTCTTGTCAGTCCAATCTGTTTTCCTTTCCATCAGGGTTCAACACACCGGGCCTGTTACTCACCTGCTGTTGTGGATGTAAAATTATCAAGGGAGGCTCTTGGGTGTTTATTACCAATAAATAGGCCATAGCTTTCTCTTCTCTAGTCTTCTTTCTTAATTCGAACCTGATTTCTTCAAGGTGAGTCATCATCCCCCTGCTGCTGCGCACCATGCTGAATCCAAAAATGGCTGGACATTGCGTCAGGAAATCAAAATCACCAGCAAGTTTCGAGGCAAATACCTCTCCATTATGCCCCTCGGTAAGGCCACCGTGTTTGTTCCAGTGAAAGGTGTTGTGGCCCTAATGGAGGAGGCCCCTGGTTCAGGCCTCAGATGAGAACTCTGAATCAGGCAGCAGCATCACTAGGTAGCACTGGGCAATTGTTTAACCCCCGCCATCAAGATGAGGAAGGAGGCCAGGTGCTCTCTAACATCCTACATAAATATCTTGTCTCTTCAGTGTATTTACTTTTTTGTCTATACGTACTACCTCAGGATGTAGATTCTAGCATGCCTTTAAAAAATTCCTTTAATGGTGTTCACACATTACTTTAGCAGTCAGGTTCCATCTGTACATAGAATATTTAGGATTACAAGATTAGGTTTCCTGGCTAGTCTCTCTCCTGTGGTCTTCTCTCTTCTGCTCAATGGATTATGTGTCATTTATGTAATGACTGAATCCTGGGTAAGATGAAACTTTATTTTATTGGATTACAAGTTATTTTTGTGTCAGGATAAAAAAGATGAAGCCTGGAAGTAGGAACCCTGATTTGTAGAGTTGGAAGTACACCAGAACTTTGCAGCTGCTGCCATTCCTTACTCTGCACTGATTTTCTTGTGAATTTGTGTTGTGTGTGTGTGTGTGTGTGTGTGTGTGTGTGTGTGTGTATCAAGTCTTTTAAGGTTTATTTTTGCTGAACGTGGTAGTGCATGCATTTAATCCAGCACTAAAGGAACCAAAGGTCAGTGGATCTCTGTGAGTTTGAGGTCAGCCTGGTCTACAAAGTGAGTTCCAGGACAGCCAGGGCTGTTACACAGAGAAACCCTATCTAGATTTTTTTGTTTGTTTGTTTTTATTTGTTTTTGTTTTTTTTCTGAGACAGTGTTTCTCTGTGTAGCCTTGGCTGTCCTGGACTCACTTTGTAGACAGGACTGGCCATGAACTCATAGAGATCCGCCTGCCTCTGCCTCCCACAGTGCTGGGATCACATGTGTGGACTATCATGTCAAGATATATTTTTATTATTTTTAATGTGTGTGTGTGTGTGTGTGTGTGTGTGTGTGTGTGTGTGTTTGCATGTGATTGTGTACATGTGTGTTCAGTGCAGTTCCCACAGAAGCCAGAGGTGTCAGATCCCCTGGAGCTGGTGCTATAGACCATCTGAGCCAACAGAGGTGAATGCTGGCGGTCAAACGTGGGTCCTCTGAGAGAGTGTTTAACCTCTGAACCGTTCTCAAGCCCCTGAAAATTCTCATCACGTAGCTGTGTTGTTTACCTATGCAGATACTTTACAAATTTTATAAGAGAAAAAAGTTACATGCTATCTTTAATGCATAGTTGGCTTTACTGGTCTCTTAATTTCTTAATGTGGATTGAAGTTATTCATTTGTGTCCTTTCAGAGTGTCTTAGAAGATGGATTATTTCAATTTTATTGATCTGGGAATGAGTCTTGAATTCTCCCTGCTTATGCAGAATAGTTTTACTGGATACAGAATTCTTCCTTTGATAGTCTTGTCAACATTTTGAATATGTTACTCTGCTGTCTTCTGGCCTTCTGTATGTTTCTTCCTCAAATATTTTATTGTACATACACACATGTCCACACAAGCATTTCATACATGTTAAGTGTGTAGTTCAGTGCTGTTTACTACATTCATGATGATATATGAACACCATGAACCACGTAACTCCAAGATACTTCCTTTTGTACAGCTGAAACTCTACCCATTAAGTAGTAACTGCACATTTTGCCTTTCCTCCAGACTCAGAAAACCATTGCTCTAATTTTTGTCTGTATAATTTTGACAGATCTGTGACTTTAAAGTATTTGTCATTTCAGGGTCTTTTTGTTCTGTGTTCAGTGTTGGAATTTCTCTTTTTAAGCTGACTATTACATTGTATAAACCCATCTACCAGTTTTTTTTTTTTTTTTTTTTATGAGTCCACCTGTTGGTGATTATAGCTTGCTTCCATGTTTTAACAGTTGCATATAAAATCTTCTGTGAAGCTGAGTATAAATCTTAGAGTACTTGCTTTCTTTTCTTTTGAGTATATGCCAGTAGTGGAATTGCGGGATCTCATGGTAATTCTCATTGAAGTTTTGAGAAATTCCACACTGATTTCCACAGTGTGACTCTACCATTTTATATCCCTCCCAGCAATGTGCCAAAGCTGTAGTTATCCCATGTTTTTGTTGTTCATTCCAATCATTCATTCATCCATCCATCCATCCATCCATCCATCCATCCATCCATCCATTCATCAATAGTAGCCACCCTAATTGTTGTGAAGTCTATCTCATGTGCTTTCAATTTAACAATGGTGTAAAACATGTTTTTGTGTACTTTTTAGTGGCTTATGTATTTGCTTTAGAGAGGTCTATGTAAATCATTTGCCACTTATCTTTAAGATTGTTGTTGTTTTGAGATTTTGTAGCGCTGGGTACAAAAATGTCAGCCAGGCTAGCCTTGACTTTACGAGATGCACTGCTTCTGGAGTGCTAAGAGCAAAACAAAGGTACACTACCATGTCTGGGCCCTTTGACAGTTTTTGTTGTTTTGTTTATTTGAGACAGTCTCACTGTGTGTCTCTGATTGGCATAGAACTCAGAGACCTGCCTGCCTCTGTTGCCTGAGTGCTGGGGCTAAAATTATGTGCAACCATACCCAGCTACCTTTGCCAATTTTTAAATTGAGTTGTTTTGTTGAGTTCTGAGAGTTTTATATGTGGTCTGGCTATCATTTCTTTATCAAAAATAGGATTTACAAATATTTTCTTCCATTCTGTGAGTTGCCTTTTTACTTCATAGTATTGTCCTTTGATGAACAAAATTTTTAATTTTAAAAGAACCATTTTGTCCATTTTTTGGTGGTTGTTTTTATTGTTGCTTATACTTGTGGTGTCGTTACTAATGTAATGTCTTGAAGCTTTTGCCTGCAGGGTTTCTCTTTGTAGTCCTCGCTGTCTTGGAACTGACTCTGTAGACAGACTGTCCTGGTTTCTGACTCAGAGATTCACCTGCCTTTGCCTTCTAAGTGCTGGGCTGAAAGGCATGCACCAGCACTGTTGGGCTTCTTTTGAGTTTTATTTAGTTTGAGGTGTGACATTTGGGATTGATGTTTGTGTGTGTATACTATTTGGGAAAGATCCTGCTTCATTTGCATGTACATAAAAGACTCCTTTTTCTATTGAATGGTCCTGGCACCCTCATCAAAATCATTTTAGTGTGTATGTAAGGTCTTGTTTCTGGGCTTTCTGGTTTGCTCCATAACCTTCTGTTTTTATCCCAGTACTACATTGTTTTGCTTAGTGTGGTTCTGTAATAAGTTTGAAATCAGGAAGTGTGAATCATCCAGCCTTGTTCATTTTAAAAATTGTTTTAGTTAGAGTTCCCTTAGAATTCAATGTAAATTTTTCCTTCTTTAAAATTGCTTTTTATTTTGTATATCTGGGTATGTGTATGCCTTGAGTGTATAGATGCCTCTGGGGACCAGAAGAAGGCATTGGGTCCCCTGGAGCTGGAGCTGCAGGCAGTTGTGAGAACCTGACAAGTGCTGGAACAGAACTCAAGTCCAACACACACACACACACACACACACACACACACACACACACACACACA